CAGTTCTATTTGACTATATATATATATATATATAGCCTCCTAATGAGTCGTTGAAACTCCGACGAACCCAATTGTCACAAAGCAAATAACACATCCCACAGATCAACATATCTTATCTTGTTTTTTTATATTTTATTTTTTCTCTTTTTTTCTTTTGTTTTCTATTTTTCTCTTTTTCATATATATATATATATATAGTTTAGGCTCGTGATGAGTCTGTGAAACTCCGGCGAAACACTTTGTCACATCTCATCGTTTGTTGTCACAACCCATACAAAATAGATAAGCGCCTGCAAAGATCCTAAATGACAAGCCTAGATGACAAGTCCCATATGCAAACACCGCCCCCAGTTACTACAGGCCAGACGACGGTACAAGACCAGCCAGGATGTCAAAAGACAAGGCATGAAAAAACGCTCCGATCCACAGTGTGACAACCCAATAAAAAATAAAAGAGGTGAAGACAATCCCGGATAACGGTTCACACACACACATATATATATATATATATATATATATATATATATATATATATATATATATATGCAGACTGTTGAGGGTTCGGCCTCGTGATGAGTCGGTCAAAGTCCGACGAAAGAGTTTGTCATAGCCCCTCGTTTGTTTTCCTCTTCTGTCTGTCTCCAAAAAAATTAAAAAAAACGGATAAAGAAGGGGAGAAAAGCGACCGCAAACTTGTCATTGCAGTGGTCTGTTAAAAAAAAAAAAAAAAAAACACAAAAAAGTTGAAAAAACAAGCAACAAAAAATCATTCGGAAATGCCGAATGCACATACATATGAGTCGTTGAACGAAATGGCCATGTGCTTACGGTACAAGTGAAGCCCGGGTTGACTTCGCCGTGCGGGAAAAAAAAATAAAATAATAATGATAATAAAAGTAAAAAGTTGTTTTGTATATTACAATATTTATTCTAAAATTCGCGAGGAATATCGATGTCACCGTGAGGCAAAAGTAGTTCTGTTGAATTTTCTGCATAACATGTTGGCTTCCGGGGAATTCTTGGAGGTC